TAGAGAATGTATGATTAAAAAAAGAAGGAAAATTTTATATTTATGTGTGATATTATTTTATTTGAGAATGTGTGATTGATAAGAAGAGAGAAAAAAATGAATTATAATTTAATGAGGACTAGACAGGGCTAAAGACTAAGACTGATTGAGTCCCATTTCTTAAAAAAAAAGAAACAAAAAGGGGGGGATTTGTAATAATTTTTTTTTTTAAAATGAGGTTAAATATAGAAAATAGATGTAGATTTTCGTTAAAATTATTTTATTTGAAGAATATGTGATTGAAAATAAATTTTTAAATAGAATGGGTTAAAATAAGATGCGACAAGTCAACTTTTAAAGCCTTGTTGATAATTGAACTCCATCTAAAATTAGTTCAATCCAAAGTTGAGTAAATTACTTGTCAAATAATTGTATTTAACATGTATTCAAACAAAACGAACTTTTTTGTTGTTAAGATACATTGTCATCATAAATTTAAAATTATTAAAAAATTTATTTTAGATTAAAGTGTACACGATTTTAGAAAATTACTCTACGATTCTAGTCTAGCGAAATAAGGATCACATCACTTCACACTTAGAAAATTCGACTTAAACTTACACCTCTTAGCGCTCTAGTCTTATCCCTTCCTTGTCATAGAAGTATATCGCAATAAAATTCAAACAAAGTGATCGCTAAAATAGATGAATTGATAACTCATTTATTAAAGTAGACCTTGACTTGTGGAAACTAAAGCCCCGACAATGAAAGGAACGAGAAATTTCGTATTTGCCTTTTTCTTGGGGCCAACCAAGCAAAGACTTAAAAAACTAGCTCAGTAGTCACTATCACGCATCTAATGGAGTGTGGAGTGCACGCTATGAATGCTGGAGAAAGTCTCTACATGTGCATTACACGACATTCAAATGTGTGTTTGAGCCACGTTATTTTGGAAGAATGTATTTTAAAATAGTAAATTGATAGAGAATGTGTGGTTGAAAAAGAAGGAAAAATTATTGACGTGATGAAAAATATTATTTTATTAAAAAATGTGTGGTTAACAATGAATAGAAGAATGAGAATAAAAATTTTAATGTGAATCAAACAGGAGCTTTCGAGGACATAATTTCAACGAGATGATTAATAATTATTTCTTTTACTTGAGTAGTTTTACTTAATATTTAAAATAATGGAATAAAATTTAAAAAAATGCACCTTTCGAGCAATAGTCGCTCGCTAGGCTGTCAAAAAAAAAAAAGAATTGATTGCTTTTTATTCACGTCTTTTTTCCTATGCGCGACTTTTTTTATCTCGCACCTTCTGCCTGGGTCCTACCTTTTCCGTCTTTCTTTTTTTTTTTTTCTTTTTGAACACTGAAAATAGGTAGTTCTAGGAATATAAAGTTATAAATTAATTTTATTTTTTATATATATCACGGTAATTCAATGAAATCTCAAATTAGATCACTCGGCTTTAGCTCATGTTTGGTCCGAATTAAAATTTGATTTTAATTTAAATCAAAGTTAAACAATTAATATTAACCACATCTTTCATGTATCCCACAACTTTTCAACCATCAATTTCAAAAACTTCTATCACAATCTACTAAAAATCAAATTTTAATCTTTACCAAATACTCTCTTAGTATGTCTGAATTATGGCTCTGTTCGAGTCACGTTAATTTTTCCATTATCATTTTTCTACTTATTCTCAACCACACATTTTTCAATAAAATAATATTTTTCATCACATCAATAATTTTTCCTTCTTTTTGGACCACATATTTATCATCATATCAACAGTAAAAATACATTCTTTTTTAAAAAATGTGCACCAAACGAGGGCTATAGGTCTAAATTAACCCTTCATTTGCCTAAAAATGTAATGCAATCATATTCAAACATGTGATCAATACTGTAGATGAATTGAAACTTCAACTATTGAGAAGACCTTGACTTGTGGGAAATAAATATTATTAGTTAAAACAATGAAAGTGTAGGAGAAATTTCAGTGTTGCCTTTGCCTTGGGGAAACAAATTCTTGAAAGACTAGTTCACTACTGAGCACATGGTATGGGAGCAAGTTAGGGAATGGAGTGTTGATTAGGGTACCAAAAAGATTTCTAACATATTTAGTACCTAATATTGAATACAATTTGACAGTTCAGTTTACAAAATTTTAACTTATCCTTTATAGGAGTATTTATTTAGTTCACCTAGAGAGAGTGCCACCAAAACACAAAACATATTTTTCTAGTATTGAGTCCTTCTTTGGTAGATATTTTTTGAATATAGATTTTGTTAAAAGTGATTTTTTAGAGAACGTGTAGTTAAAAAGTAAGAGAAATTATGGTTTCCCGTGTAGATTTATTTTGTTAAAAGAAGGTATGATTGAAAATAAATTTTAAAAATGGGACCACATCCTGTTTGGTTTACCAAAAAAATAATATTTTTAGTGTATTTTGATAAATGTTCATAAAATGTGTGGTTGACAAGTTAACAAAAGTTGTATGTCCCATGAAATAATGGAAAAATGAGTTTACAAAATGGGAACCAACTAAGGCTAAGCCCCTGTTTGGGCTCTATTTTATTCAAAATGTATTTATCTTTTTTTTAACCACACATTTTCTAATAAAATAATACTACACGTAAATTTAAAACTTTCCATATTTTTTAATCGCACATTTTTCGAAAAATCATTATTTCAAATATATCTTTCCCCAAAATTTGGTTTTAATGAAGCGCAAACAAGGACTGAGTAAGTATGGTAATACAAAACAAATGACATTGTATCGAAATCGATTTTGAGTGGTAAAATTTCATCCCTGTTTGGTCCCCATTTTTTTTTTAAAACTCATTTTTAATCGTATATTTTATGGGATTCACATCATCTTTTTCAGCCACATTAAACCAATTTTTATCAAAATTTACTAAAAAAATATTTTTTATCCAAACCTAACAAATTTCTAGACACCCCATAGCCATGTTGAAAATGAGAACAACAATATTTTTAAATATTTTAGTTTTAAAAAAATGACAAGTATACATCTCGCGTGTCTATTCACCCTTATTTTCATAGACATGTATTGCTGCGAAACTTCAAACTTAAGTATCACAAATATTAAGTTGACCTTGACTTCGTGGAATATGAACAAAACTAAAGAGATAAGACAAATGAAGTTGTAACAGAAATCCCAGCTCAGGCCCCACCTCCCAAACGAGACGGTTGTCAGTCGAGGTGTACACTAAGATGTACACTTAGCATAAATCAAATGTTATAGTCAAGAGAACAAGTTACCAAGGAGTGTGAGCACACAATGTCTTGTTTGATCCTTATTTTTACAGAAAAATATTTTGAAAGGGTAAGTTTTTGAAAAATATGTTGTTAAAAATAAAGAAAAGTTTTCGATTTACATGTAAAATTATTTTATGAAAGAATGTTTGGTTGAAAATAAATTTTGAAAAAAATGAATTTTTGATGACATACTTAAACGAAAAGTTGATAAAAGTGATGGATACTGTGAAATATATAATTATAATTAATTATTGACTTTGACCTCAACTTCTCAAGTTATACCAAACAAGCACTAAAATGCTTGCATTAGGTAATATTAAATCAAATGGTAAAATACAAAATTATAACTTCTTCTTCTGTTCACATTCTTGAGTTCATTTGAACACGCGCGTCACTAAGCTTTAGTTTGGCTATTGTTTCTAAATTATTTATGATCGATCAAATTATATTTTTATGAAATAAAAAATACTATTCATTTATCTACTTCAAAATTCTATATATTTAAATTTCACTATAGACTATTCCAAAACATACCCACAACACTACATAACCACATGCTTTGATGATGGTTAAGATTTATTTGTCTGCCTGACTCGAGTGGATGAGGTCATCTGTAGTCACTAAACTTTCAGAAAATTTTCAATTAGGCCATTGAATTTTAATTTGTTTCAATTGAAGTAGTAAACTTCAATTTCATTGCAAAATTTCACTACCCAGTAACATGTCATCTAAATTTATGTACATTATTGCTTAATTGGAAGCCATACGGCAACTAATCTTCCTCTTAATTATTACATGATATGTCAATTTATGACTATGCCATGTCAAAAAGTGTAATAAAAAAAAAACACTCCTTTTAACCTTATAATCAAAAGAATATTCAGAATTCTCATTTTACCATTTATATTTCTAGGGTGTCACATATTGATTATGTGGAAGGTCAGTTATAGTGTGACTTTGAATTAAGTAATTTCCGTCAATTTGGGGGAGGATATGTGACGGAATGTGATCAAGTGATGAAATTTGAAACTAAATTGAAGTTCGGTAATCCAATTGATACAAATTAAAGATTAGTAATCCAATTGAATTTTTTCTAAAAGTAGAGGACTGCATATGAAAATTACATCGAAGTATCTGAGACTAGTAAGAATGAGCAAATAACTATGAAACAATCAACTTAAGATAATTAGAGAAAGCCCAAATTTCTGCCTTCATAGTAGGAAGATTCCCAATAAAAGTATTGAGTCCTATAAATTAGTCCAAAGGGTAAAGAACAAAGTTAGGAAATTTCAGTGAACCTTCTTCATCAAAAGCATTTTTCCAAGTCTTTACTTCCTATAAAAGGGACAAGAACATGAGCACAATAACAAGTCATAGTATTAAGTAGTAACTGAGAATTTGCAACCTCTCTATCCAATATTTCAATTGTAAAACACCCGAGTCTTACGCGCAAAATACTCGATAATCTTACAATGAGTTCAGCAAGTGGCAGTGTCGTGTATATTTGTGGAGCAGCAGCAGCTAGTATTGTGGAATTCATTTCTTTGATCTTATGGTGTATGTTTTTCAGCTTCATTTTTACATTTAAAGACTTGTACCTTTCTTTTCGGGGCTTATTCCGAACCATTTTTTGCCTCCTCTATAGTATTCGAGCTCGAGGAGAAATTGTAGATGACAAAGTTTCGACCATACAAAGTTGTAAAACGAGCAACAAGACTTTGATTGGTATGAGAGATGTTGAATTAGTAATGCATAAGTTGGGACTTGTTTTTGACCCAAAAGAGGCATTAGGCGACCAGGACATTTTAGGTGCTTTCGAGGAAAATGAAGCTCATTTGGAATTACTGAAAGATGCATTTAATGTTTTTGATGAAAATAATGATGGATATATTGCTGCAAATGAGTTGAACAAAGTACTCAATTCACTAGGTTTAACACAGTTCTCTGACCAAGAATGTCGTAGAATGCTTGTAGCGATGGACTGTAACGGAGATGGACGGATTGATTTTGATGAATTTGTAAAGCTCATGGAGTTTCATGTGTAATATTGTATTGGCTTTCTTTCTTTCTTTCTCTCTTTTGTTTGAAGGCCTACAAAACTGTACGAGTGGCAAGAATCGAGCCCAAGTTGAATGAAATGTACATTTTAATAATCTTAAAAGTACTCCCACTCTTAAAGAATGTAATCAAAGCCCCTGTGTGGTAAGAGGAATTAGTGGGTGATGCCTGGTTGACCCATGCCATTTTTCATGATGGCGTTTGACCAATTTTAAATGAGAAAAAAAAAATATAAAGGTCAAAAAAATCCTTAAAACATTAAAAAGGCCAAACTACCCTTTGTGAACCAGACGGCTTACCGTTCATCTTCTACACTTTTGACAAGGTTAGTTTTTTATTTAAATCTTAGTATTCATTGTGTTGTAAAATATTAATTTACAGATTTTATTTTTAAATCAAATATCAATAAATCTTGTAATTTATGAGTTTAATACAAGTGTTGAGGTCTATTTATGGTTAAAATGAAAGAAAAGTCGGATTAGAGGTTGATTTTTGCGATTAAATGAGGTTTTTGTGGCGTGGCGAAACTCGTCGGAAATGACGATTTTTGACAGTTCCACTAGTTTTGAAACTATTAATGGACCAATGATCGGCCCAAATGCTTGATTTTTCTTATTTTCATTTTTTCCTTTTTTAAAAAAATTTATTTCCACTTTCTTTTATTTTAAATCTTATATATATATTTTTTCAAATTCTTTTTTGCCTTTTATTTTTCCCTTAATTTAATTTCTTTTCCATCAATTATTTTTTGGCTAATTATTCAATTTTTCCCTTCATTTTCATATTTTATTTATTTATAATTCGTTAATTTTTCTTTCATTTTAGTTTTTGTTCTGTTTTTATAATTTCCTTTTTTGTTTAATTTTATTTTTATTCGTTAATTCTTTTTTTAATTTTATTTTTGTCCTTTTTTTTTTGTAATTTACTTTTTTCACTTGACTTTTTCATATTAATTTTTGTTCTTTAATTTCCTTAAAGTTTTATTTATCTTTAATTTTATTTCTCTTTAAATTATTATTTTTATTTATTTTTATTATTTTACTTTATCTTAAATTATTTTTTTCTATTTCTATTTACTTTTTACTTTAATTTCTTTTTGTTTTTCTTTTTGATGTGGGATGAAATGAATTTACGTAACACATAATTTGGTTCGTTGAATTTTAAGATATTATGTTTTCTTAACGTGTGAAATTATTGTAGGATGGAGTATCATCTCGACGCCAGTATGAGAGATCATCTTAGGAAAGTTAGATCGTATTGTAACTTTTCCAGCTAAGGTGTCAAGATTCTTGATCCTTGAGTTTGCCCTCATTACGGGTTTCAAGTGTAATGGTAAAGAAGCAGTGATACGGCAAATAAAAGGTTGCAGATGAATATTTTGGAGGTAAAGGACTTGTTACAACACCCCCACAATTAAAAGATGCATCCAGGAAATGCGATAACATGTTGGACAAATTAAAGTTGGGATTTGTGTTTATCGTGGAGAGTGTACTGTGGCGTCGACACCATAAGACACCAATTGACATTTTCTTGTTGGACATTGTATATGACATCGATGCCTTCAACAGCTATCTATAGAGTCGTAGATGTTATACAAATACGCTACAGGTTTATAGGAGGGTGCATTCGAAGCCCCAAGTCATAGAAGGCCGAACGTTAGTATGATGCGTATGACTTTTCTTTAGCTTTGCAGGTAAATGTTTAACATTTTAATAAATGTATATAAATAATAATTTTAACTATTGCAGATATGAGCTTTGAGGCTATCCCCGTCTTCGGTAGCAAGTGGGTAATCAAAAAGGAAACAAGCTGCCTTCAGGTGCTTCACTAATGAGCGCATAATAAGCTATTGGACAAAGACTTGACATCTATTCTCGATGATCTTCAGGTGAGTACTCTACATTTATGATTTATATTGTATGCATATTTATCGGCTCGATACATGACCATTAATTCGATGGAATGTTAATATGTCAGTTCAAAGTTCACACTGAGTCAATAGCTTCGATGAAGGAGGATGATCGGATGTACATGCATGGATTTTCTATTTCGCCTACTGAAGACAATCCATTGTCTAATTCTATTCTGAATGGAGATGGGGTATGTTTATTTAATGTCATTAGTTGATCTGAATTTCGTATTATAATATTTCAATTACATTATTAATTGTTAATCTTCTTATTTGTATATAACGCCATCCAGTGGAATGACGATCACCTCTGCTTCGAATATCTCCTTCACCAATGAGATCACCTCCACTGATGAGATCACCTTCCCCAATGCGATTTCATTCTCTCGCAACCAGACACCATCTATGTGGATCTCCTACACTCATTCAGACCTATTATTTTGATTATTTGTTTACACGTATGACTAGTTTTATCGGAGAGGAGATATGAGCGATGCGACGGGAGTTAAAGAGTCGAAGTAGCAAAATTAAAACATTATGTGAGTATGTTGTGAGGCAATTTAGGAGACCTTCATAATGAGATCGCTGTGCTACGAGGCGATGTAGCAGGCCGACGAGGGATGTGAAAGGGAGTGCCCGAGGGACTGGCAGTTCTATTGATAGAAGGACGGATGGTCCTCGGGACGAAGGGTATGACTAGGGCTGGATATGGTCCAGTTTGGTTCGGTTTTAAAGAGAGTCGAATCGAATTCGAATTTTTGAGTATTTAATAAGTGAAACTGTTAAAATTGAACAAAACCCAAGTTTTCGGGTATTTAATAAGTGAAATAGTTGGACCCAAATTTAATTTTGGAACCATTCAGGTTCAGTTCCTTTCGGTTCCATTCTATTCATTTCAGTTCTCGATTTTCGTACAATAATTAAAAATTTTAATATTTACAACGATGCTACATTAATTTAACTAATAAAATGTTCAATTTCAGCTCTTACAAAATAACGTAGTTCAATCCCCCGATATCTTTTGCGCCTCTTTTTGTCGAGTCTTTATAGATTTGGCTGTTGAAATCACAGGAAGATGAAGACGGGAGCTTACAACAATGAAGAGGGGCACAACCAAGCTTCCAATTCGATTTCTCTCGAACGGTACTATTGTAGAATAAGAGATTTTGATAAAAACTTAGATCAATTTGATTAAGTTAGGCTCGGGCTTTAAATTAGAAAGAAAAATCATATTTTAGGTTTGAGCTAAATTATTTAGTTAGCAAATTTAATCATATTTTAGGTTTGAGCTAAATTAATTAGTTAACAAATTTTTTTTAAAAAAAAAAATTAGCTTATTTAAGTTAAAAAAATTAGGAAGATTCGGTTCTTATTCGATTTTTCGATTTTTGGTCTAGAACAAAAAATCGAATCAAACTCGTTGGTTCTCGATTCAGATGCTCATTAGGGTATTTAACTTAAGAAAAATCGTTCGATTTGGTTTGGGAGTTTTGTCCAACCCTAGATATAACTGTGCCCATCACAAATGATACGAAGATCCATTGTGGCCATTGAATTCTCCTTCGATGAGTTCTTTTGGATCTGTGCTTTCAAGGGTGAAGAATGAGAGGTCTCGATGATGGTGGGGATGTCGTCCTTGGGACAGAGGTTGTGCCCCCATGGTGATGGAGGAAGTGGAGGTTGAAATGATAAAGGGAGTGGTGGTTTCAGGGACGGAATGGGTGCCCTCGATAGTAATGAAGGAGTGGAAGGTCCCAGTGATAGAGGAGTTCGACGACGGAGGTAATGGAGGTAACGAAGGGGATAACGGAGGAGGGAAAGGTCCTAGTGATAGAGGGGTAGAGTAGGTGATGGAGGTGACCCCGACTTGACGGATGAGGATGACGTGACAATTATGTCGGAGGGGGCGATAGAGGCAACGAATGGTAAGAAACATGTTGTTGATATACCAGGATAGGTGGTCAACAAGATGGTAGGTTGCCCAACGTCTTCTGTGACGTAGACCTGGTAAAGAAGAAAGTGTTCAATGGCTGGTTTAGCAAGATTGGATCTGGGAAAATATTTTATTAAATTTTGCTAAAGTAAACTAACCCATCTATGCGCTTTTTAACAATTTTCTTTTTATTCTTTTAGAGTGATCTACAAGATAGGGGAGACTACAATATCAAATGCAAAGAAAAGGTTCAACAATGTACAAAAGAGTGGAGTATGACTCGCCGACGACGTAAGTGCATATTCGTTGTTATTTATGTTCACATAATTGGTTATTGTTTCATTAAATTTTCATATTTTTCTTCCTTTTTCTATTGTATCATGTCGATATGGCTATGGAACCATTGCGCGATCGGGCTTGGAGACACTTGAAATCATTTGATGTTCATGATCGAGTTATCATAAGCTGCGAGTTTTCTAATGACATCCAGATTGAGCATGACATGAGCTTTGTGGGCTCTAACCGGTACACATTGTCAACTTACACGAGAGATTACGTAAAAGGGCTCGTGCTAAGATGGTGAAAGTCATGGACGGGTTGTACACATTTCTACGTCCCAATGATAGCAAACTCGCATTGCTTTGCAGTTGAGATCGTTTTCTATTAGTCGAAAATGTTCGTATACAACTCCGATCATAGTTATACTACATAGGGTAGCTCAAGCGTATATTGAAGCCAATGGCGATCGTTCTCGTGATGGCTCGTATACAACTCCGATCATAGTTATACTACATAGGGTAGCTCAAGCGTATATTGAAGCCAATGGCGATCGTTCTCGTGATGGCTAGAGCAATTGACATTTCAATACGAATAGAGGAAGATGACGATTGCAAGATAAAAAAAATTGTAAGTTTTTTTATTTGTTAAATTATGTTATAGTTATACATCATTGGATTGATAGATTATTATTTACACACAGGGGTGATTGTGGAGTTTTCACAATCAAGAACATTGACTTTTGGAGCATCAAACGTGGTGTAGGATTCGTAAACTAAACACACATTGATAACTGAAGGATAAAGTTAGCGTCCGACTTATATGCATACAATTGTGATCCGTAGTATATTGTATTAAAATTTTTTAAATGTATGTATTTATATTTAATTATTTGGTTGAAAATGGCTTAAAATATTTAATTGTGACTCGTTTTTTATGTAATTGTATATTTAATTGAATACCCTGGTTCAAAAAACAATGATTGAATATTTAATGAGCTCAACTGTATGCAACTGGAACATGAAGGACCGAAAGAAAGACATTATGTCGAAAAATGGCGAAAATAAAGTATGTGGACCTAGTTGTATGTTTTTAATAGTTGATGAAAAAATAAAAAATGATGATCGGATATTAAATGGACTCAATTGTATGCAATTGGAAAATGAAGAACTGATCGGAAAGACTTTTTGCGAAAAATGGTGAAAATAAAGTCTGGGGATCTAATTGTAACTTTTTAACAGTTAATTAAAAAATAAAAAATGTTGAACAAATATTAAATGGATTCGATTTTATGCAATTGGACCATGAAGGACCAACCGGAAAGACATTACGGCAAAAACCAAAGTATGTGAACCTAATTGCAACTTTTTAATAGTTGATGTAAAACGAAAAACGACAATAGGAGATTAAATGAGCTCAATTGTATACAATTGGAACATGGAGATCCACTAAGAAGACATTATGTCGAAAAGGACGAAAATCAAAGTATGGGGGGACCTAATAGCAACTTTCGAATAGTTGATGTAAAGTATGGACGACCAGACCCTTTTTTTAAAAAAAAATTTGCATCAATTATTAGAAATTGTAATTAGGTCCCCCCATACTCTGATTTTCATCATTTTCAACATAATGTTTTCCCGTTGATCCTTCATATTCTAATTGCATACATTAATATCCAATCATCGTTTTTTATTTTAATCAACTATTAAAAGTTGCAATTAAGTCCACATACTTTGATTTTTGCCATAATGTCTTCGCGGTGGATCCTTAAACTAAATTTTTTTGAATTTAATTTTCGATTTATTGTATAAGTAATGATAATATATTTAATTGCATATGTTATGAGAACATGAATGAAATAGGCAAAGTACTATAATTTTCGAAATTTATGAACAATGAAGTACTATAAATAGAGATTACACGTGATTTAAATGAAAATTACACATCCATCAAATTATTATGTAGTGGGATCTGACTTATACAAAACTAGCGAGTTTGCCCCGTTGCATTGCACCTACGCGATCGAAAAGCGCTATGTTAGATGGTATTCTAGACGTACATCTACGTCTAGGAGTACGTGGTCCGACTTCGAATGGAAACAAATTATTAAATGGGAGAATGTGGTCAGGAACTTTCCACTTAGCTTTATTTGGTAGTGGAAATATAGTTTCGACATACGCGGTTCTCCAATAATCAGCCATATAATAATGAGTGCATAAGTTGTATGATGAAAATCCTCTATGCATGGCCACTGCGAATGCATGAGCACATGGAAAACTCTTCAACTGAAATTGTCTATACGTACAGGTATTATCATACATGTCTAAAATATATCTGATATTAAGTTCGTATCTCACTGAGAAGCGGAATTGATCCAGTTGTTCCACATTTACCTTTCTTATCACCTCTAGTGTTTCGAAGAGTCTATCTTCCTAAGTCGGAGTTAGCACAATTGTTCACATAGTTGATTCCGCACGTCGGTCTCGAAACCATTGCTATAACTTGTTACAAATATGCTCAATCATTGCGAGAATTGGTAACTATCGATCATTCTTCAATAATGCATTGAGCGACTCCGCATTGTTTGACGTCGTCATGCTTTATCGACGTCCTAAAAAATGTGATCATGTCCAATGTTAAATCACAATCTTCACTATTAGATACTCCCGTACAATATGTGATTTATTTTTTATTTCGACCATGAATTTATTAAACTCTTTGAAATTGTAGGCCTCTGCAACTCTCTTAAACAATGCAGTGATGCCACTCCCCTGATACTTACTCTTTAGATTGCCTTGTATATGATATATGCAATAACCATGATGTTACTCGGGAAAAATTTCAACGATACAATTTATTATAGGTTTGCCTTGGTCTAGTACAAAGGCCATGTTTTTGAAGTCTTCAATTACTTCCTCAACTTTGTAAAGAATCAACACATCGCTAGATCATTTTCGCCATTGACTATGCCTAATGCAAATGGGTAAATTTGGATGATGGCATCCAACATGTAGGAATAATTAACTTTTCTTCATATCTAGCTTTCAGGGTTGTACCGTCGACTAGAATTAGAGTTCGCATCGCATTTCAAAATTCTCGAATGTATTATCCAAAAATCATAAAGAAATACCCAGTCTCAATAAAAAAATGTCGAGTTGGAATTAGTTCACCCCATGTTATGGTAATACTAAGTTAATTTAACATAACTCTACTAGGTCGAACCCATTAAATCATCCAATGCACATTCTTTAGCCTTCCAGACTTTCGGTAGCTCATGACCACCTCATACTTTTGACGAACGTCGTTGATGATTTCGGCAGGTCTGTAAATCGTTCGTGAGTCCTGAAACTTGTACATTATTTGTCGACGAACAAACCATGATCGAGCTTGCCTATGATCATTTCGACGAATACTACTTCACGAGTATGTTCCTGTGTATACTTGCGAACTACAAAGAACTCGTTCATGTTCATCTTTGTCGCTTGCAAATGTCAACTGCAATTGTCGTCAACACAAATAGTTGTATGTATGGACTCGTTTCATTTCTTTACTTTAAACTGAAAGTTATGTTTCATTGCAATTCGATGCACAACTTCTTGCAAATCTCTCTTCGTATCAAACATTTGATTGATCAGGAAACACACACGAACAATTAGAAGACTGTGTACTCAGTCCAGCCTGTGAATTCCCACCTCACTCATGTCTCTAACTAGATAAAACAATCAAATTGTGATTTGTAAATTATTTTTCATCCTCGTTTTCTTGAACTACCTCGTGAATTCTGTGCGTAACAGTTAGATCATGATGAGTAGCAGCTGTCCGAAAATAACCATATCTTCCTCACGAGTTATCTCCATTGTGTCTAAAAATCATTCACATTACGATCTATAACCACATCATCCTCACGAGCTATCTCTACCGTGTTCCAAAAATCATTCACATTACGATCCCCTCTATTGGAATCTTCGTATTCACTTTTTGGGGAAATTCTTCCTCAATAAAGTTACGCAAATAGGAGTCGACTTGCGACTTTAGTTCAATTCAATTAGCAATTCGCACTTCAAAACTTTACTTGTGGAATTTGCATGGTTGAATGCTCGTGAAATTGAAATATCAATTCCATATCGTACTGAAAGGGATCCACGTTGAGCATGTTTTCTATCATGGCACATTTTCGTATATGATGTATTTGATGTTATCACAATTTCAGTAACACCGTTTCCTTCACTCTTCCGTTCCCATCAAGCATTTTCGTTCATTTGAAGTTCACTAAAGTAACAATCTAGGAGACACGTTGACCCCATTCTGCATTACNTTAAATGAAATATAAAAAATTATCTACGTATTAGCATATGTCGAAATTAATTTTAACGATTGAAAAAATATACTAATATAATGAAAACAAAATTAAATATACTTATCGTTTCGAAGTATTTGATATAAATGATTTTTTTTTTTGAACGTTTGATAAATTTATGAGGTTTTAAGGTTGAGGTGGATGAAAAATGAAAGAAACGTTATTTGTGTTGGAGAAAATATATAAAGAAAGTGACATGGTTTTGAAATTTCAAGTGAAAAGTGTTGATTTTTGTTATGTAATTAAAATGTTATTCTTATCTTTTTAATAGAACCATACTTTTGTAGTTTAATAACCTTATTAAGGGTATTTTGTCTTTTTCAATTGAAAAAGGCATTGTAGTTAATAAAGAGTAAATTAGACTTATGTAATGAATGACAAGTTTGACGTGATCATTTTGAACTCTCTCTCTATTTGGTAATCATTCTTTCAAAATATTTTTTTTTATACTTATTTTTAACTTCACATTCTCATAATAAATTATTCTTCAAGTAAACGCAAAATTTTTCCTACTTTTTAACCACACGTTTTCCAAAAAATTACTATTCAAAAACTCATTCTTCCCAAAAATGACTGCCAAACTGGGCCTAAGCTTTTGTTTGGCAAATTTATAAATGATTTGTAAAGATGAATAGTAGTGAGTTTCACAAAATGTGTAGATAAGAATGAGTAGTATATATAAATGTATAATTGAAATTAATGTTTGATTTTAACTCAATTTATAAATTATTTATTAATTAACTGAGACTAAATTGTACGAGTCACAAAATCAAGTCTGAAATGAATTAATGGTTATTTTACTCTTCTTAAATGTAAGCTTACTTTTACCGTGACTAATTAGAGTTGAACATGCATTGCACGTTATTTTAAAATACTTTATAAGTACTGTAAAAATAATATTTAATACAAAATTTTTGGAAGGATTTGATGAGTCTCAAACAAACTAAAAAATAAAATTTAGGATATAAATTTAAAAAAAGAAAATTATACTCTCAAAACTCAAATTTTATGATTTAATTTTTTTGTGATGATAAAATACTATAAATGATCAACTTTTTTTTATACTACATTTGGTATATAAAAATTAATTGTTAATACATGAATTTGAACAAACATTAAAATTTCTAGATACATGAATAAAAATAAATTTATCCATAATAACTCTAGATTCATATAGATCAGATTCATCAAGTCAAGATTCATTGAGTTTATATTAATGTAAATGTTAATTAATTGAGAATTAATAACGCAAAATTCATACTTGACAATGATTTTACAGTATTTATTACATATTGAAAAATGAAAAGTAAGATATTATTGAAATAATTGAATTGTAGTAAGGTTAAAATTGTCAAAAAAATAATTCTCGCTTATGTGAAATTTAATATATTATAGATAAGAGAGAGTTTGCAGGATTTTTGTAGCAAGGCAAAGTATTTCAAGCAAATTAAACACGAATATTGAAAATAGCTTCCTAGTCTAAAGTAATTTTTGATTTTTCAAAAACTTTGTCAAATGAACTCTAAGTCAACTTGATCGACTTAATATATTAAATAGTACGAGTATATGGCTATTTTAATTTTCTTAAAACTAATATTACTCATAAAGCCATAGCAAACTTGATCGACTTCCTAAATTGTACTAGAATAAAAAACCCATCCATCTACTTCACAAATTGGTTCAATTATTTCATACATGATCAAATATTTGGAACAAGAAATTTGAAGTATTCCCTCAAATACTTCCTAAACTTCAAAACAACAATATTAAATCACCAAATTATACTATGTCTCCTCTCTTGGTTACCATAATTGATTTTGCACAATAAATAACGAGGTTAATTTGATTTACTGGATGCTTACGTCATGTAACTATAGGAATTATTCACGGTATACTTATGTTATGTAACTATGAGCCCGTTTGGTACAGATTAAAATTCAATTAAAATTGAAAATATAGTCGTTATTGGACCCCACTTGTCTAATAAAAGTCAACAATAACGGCTAGTTTTTCAATTTTAATTCGATTTTCATTTCTACCAAATGGGTTCTATAGACATTATTATCCAACTTGATCGAGGTTTCTTATTATTTAGAGACCATTTACAAGCGTGCTAATAAAACGAGGGAAGAACTAAGTTTCCAACCCTTTTAAAGGTATGTTTGGCAAAGTTTTTATCAGACTAAAATAAATTTTTTTATTTTTTTTTTATTTTTGTATGATGCACAAGAAAGACCATGTCCGTTTACACACAAACGTTGGTTGGGTCCTCCCGCGAGTTTTAACCAGCGAAATCACAGCATAACCTCTTGAGCTCTCTATCTCTCCTTCTCTTTAGCCATTTCTCTCTCACTCTCGCGTTAAAATGTTTCTTCTTCTCCATTTATAAACCAGTTTGCATTTCTTAAGTTGGATATGCCATTATTAGGATCTTTTGTGCTTTGTGTTAATTTCATTATATATAGATTTTTATCCAAGATGCAAACTGGGGTTTTCGATTTTTTATTCAAATCCTGAAGTGGGTATATCTCAGTCTGGGAATCTTGTTTTGTTTTGATATTTTGAATCAATTATCTTTTCCGGTTTATGTGGGAATAGTGGTACACGGTAAATTTGTTTGTCGATTTGAGCATTTAGCGAGGTCGTTGCTTCAAGGTGATTCCACATCCATTCATCTATTCATATGTAAAATTGAGAGATATTAGATGAAATGTTAATATTTTGTTGTTGATTCTTGATGTTATGCCTTAATTGAAACAAACGAAAAGAATTGAATAGAAGAAAGACATAGAGAAGGAAAATAAGCAAATAAATTTCAAAAATGGATCGCATATATATATTATTAGAGGACATTTGTACGCTTAATAAATATTTTTGACGTGGAATTTTAGATGGGGTTGGTTTGTTTTGATTGTAGAATGGGAAGGGTCAAGTTAAAGATCCAGAGACTGGAGAGCATGACCAGCCGGAATGGTACCTATGGCAAACGAAGGGCAGGAATTTTAAAGAAAGCTCAGGAAATATCTGTGTTATGCGACATTGACATTATTCTCCTTATGTTTTCTCCGACTGGAAAACCGTCAATTTTTCGTGGACAACACAGGTACTTACAGGTTACATAAGGCCTAAATTATATTACATTATGGTGTACTATACTTGAGCATGTGATGGAGTTTCTATCTTTGTATGGTTTGAATTTTCTTGTCTATAAGAGTTGGATTTAGTTGTGAGCAGATGTATTACTATCGTTAAAGGCATTGAAGCAAAATGAATAGGTAAAAGCAGAGAGGTTGTCCAATCTTATACTGATTTCATAAGTGTAAGTCGATGTAGGACGTAGTGCATTTGACTGAGGTGCAAACTGCCAAACGCTATACTCCCCATTACCCATACATGCAAGTAGGTGAGGAGAGGTATGGTGTTAGGATGAATCAATCAAGAAATAAGAATCAGGTGCTACTATGACACTAATATGAATAAAATGCAAAATAAGGAGAAAAATTAAACAATTAATGAAATAATAACAAAGACTTGTCTTATTTCTTGTCTTATACTTTCTGAATCTCAACTCTGATATCATATTAAAGTATCCATATTTAAATCAGTTGACAATTAGTGGAGAGATTGCCCATGCTTAGATGCTCGTTTGGAAAGTACTAAT